GCGTGCACACGCATGCACACACACACACACACACACGCACGCACGTATCAATGAACAAATACATAGGTAAGTAAATAAATAAATGCATGTTTTATATTTATATGTACACATAATACATGTATCTATATATATATATATGCATATCTGTATATCTCTCTCTCACTCTCTCTCTCTATATACACATAAATGTATATATACATACACACATACTGAAAGTTATAATGTATGTATATATATATATACGCATAAGTATGCACATTGCAATATGTGCTTTGCCTACACGCACACACACACACACACGCACACACACACACACACACACACACAGACACACACACACACACACGCGCGCGCGCGCGCGTGAACATATCGGAATATGTATTCAGCATGCCTGCAGATATGTGTGCATGTATGTATGCTTGTACGTGTGCCCGTACGTGCACACGCACGTATGTATGTACATATGTATGCATGCATGCATGGATGGATGGATGTATGTATGTATCTACGTATGCATATATGTAGACAGCGTAGGCATGGACGTACATCTGCGTGTATGCTGCAGTCTCACGCGGTTGCCGGTTGTCCGAGTGACATGTCTTGTGCGTCCGTGTTCGTTTGTTGTGTGCATGTGCGGATATGTTTATGTACAGACATACAATGGGGCTCAACGTCTGTGGGAACGACGCCTGTCTAGCCTTGTCCGTGCTGAGGCTGAGCCAGGCATTGCAAGAGGACTCGAAAAGCCGCTTAAAGGCGGAGTCAGGGCTTTAGAGGGCCTCGAAACTCTGAGTTCCGTTCTCCCTACGATGGGCTCGAGTCGTTCTGGATGCCCAGCGCTGTCATTATGTCTTCATGAGGGCACCCAGAGCCAGGGCACCTTGCATTTCTTGTGTGAACCTCTGCGGTCTAGTGAGGGAGCTCTGAGAGCGCCGTCGGAGTTTCCTTCGGAGAGTAAGAGCGGGCTGGGTCTACCTGACAAGGAAAACGTTGTGTAACTGTTGGAAGCCCTGCCCGGGACAGGTCTTGTCAGCACTGCCGTGGGCTCAGAGCTTTCCGGCCTCAGCTGCGGAGCGATTGCCGAGTGAGGCTTCATACGGCAGATATCTCCAACCCGATGAAGCCTTGGGTCATGGCCATAGTGGTCCTGTGAGCACCTGGTTTTAGCGTGGTCGAGCTCAGGCCATCTGCGAGCATCTGGCTGACCTTTGCTTGGAAGAGTTCTTTGCTCAGGGTGACAAGGAGAAGGCCGACAGACTTGTGTGTGTGTGTGTGTCGGCGCTCGGACTCGTTTGGCCGCTTGGTGCCTTCATCGCTCGTCTTCGGCTGGCAGGAGCTTGGTATCCCAGTGCAGATGCTCAACGATCGCGACAAGGTTAATCGACCAAACTCACAGGCTCAACCGACAGCATCCTTCTATCGTCGTAGAGCGTTTTTGTTTCTCGTGGAAGCATCCATTGCAGACGTTATTATCTGGCAAGGTGGGCTTCATCGAGTTCGTAATCGCACCTCTCGCGGAGCAGATGGTCCGTCCCTCAGCCATGGCAACTCCTGCATAAGGGCCGTTTCTGTGATGACACATCCAAGGCCATGATATTCCCGGGGCTTTCCTTCCTGCCTGCGAATCTCAGCACGCGACTAATATCAGAAGCATGCTCACAAGCCCAGACCAAATCCATGCCTGCTTTGAGGCGCTAACACGCAAAATTGGGCTGAGATCTGGAAACAGGGGTCGGTGTCCAAGATATAGACGACCTTAGTTGGTAGCCTTAGTTTTGTGATCCCCGATCTCATATCTGAGGTCAAGTGCATCCGCGGAGGAAATTGAGAAGTTCGACGCGCGTATAGCTAAAGCCATGTGCTCAGCCGCGGAAAAATGCAGCCTGCTCTCAACCTTGAAGCATTCAAGGTCACTGGTCGCTTCAAGGTGCGGACCTTTTAGGCAGCACCGGATCGTTCTCATCGTCTCCTTGAAAGGCCTTCAACCAGAGACGGGAAGTCAACGTGAGGCAGTCACTGTCGGCAGCTGCCCGAGCTTGCCTGAAGTCACACCCTTGGCGAGTTGGAACAGCCTGAGGTGCAAAGCGAGGTATCCGGCGAATTGTAACAATTGTGCCACTGGAATCAGCGATGAACACGCGGGCCGGTCCTTGAAAAGGCCGTTCTGCGATTCGCAGAAATGTGCCGAAGGCACACATTTGTGTCATTGCGTTTAGTCATGTTTCACGCGAGAGTACCCGAGGTGACAGCAGGCATGACGGTCAGTTGCTAGCTAAATCGGGTGGGGCGTGTCAGGAAATGATCATGCCTGCTGCAGTTGGGACACAGTCAGCGTCGACAAAAACCACAGAGCCTGCGCTGACCCTGAGCCTCATTTGCCACAAGGAGCAATGTCTTAGAGCAACATCCGACCGACATAGTGACAAAGCTACAATGACCGAGTCAACTTGCATTGCCACTTGCAGCCGCAGCGAGGTATCCTCAGGGGGTGAAGCCTGGCGACCAGGTCTCCGGATCCGAGCAGTGCTCAGTCGCAAATCGAGCTAATCCGAATCGTGCTCTCTTGAGCTGTGCCGTTTGTTTGTGAAGGAAGGGGAGTACTTTCGGCCTTGGCCTCGAGTTGACGTGCGGAGAAGTGAGTGGCCATTGGTGGCAGTGGGTTGAGGTATAAGCATGTCTTTGTGAAACCGCCGGATGACGAGGAGTTGAGGGCAGGGAGGGCAGGGACTATCAGCGACATTGCCAGAAGCTGGTGGCGAGTTGTCTTCCAGAGGATCGCGTGGAAGCGCTCAAGATGGCGGCAGACTTCAAGTGCTCTGCTTGTGAGGCCACGTAGAAGGAGCCACAAGATGGCACAAGACTCACATACTCTGCACGGAGTCGGAATGTTTCGGACTTTTCCTATCTGCGCCTGTTGGCTGATGGTTTCCAGCTTTGACAAATCCGTGTGCAAGAAGAAAACAGGTCCTCCTCCAAAGTCTGCTCCAGCGTGCTGAGTCCATGACCGAGGCAGCCCGACTCACAGAGAGCATCTGGATTCAGCAATCACAGAGGCCGAAGTGTTTACGAAGCGGCAGGACCACATCATGGACCAGTTCGACGGTGAGCTTGAGGAGCCCGTAGCAGGCGCCTCAGTTCGGAAGCTCCGGCCTGCAGACCGTGCCGGCGTAGCCACTGGCAGGAGGTAAGCGACAATCCCCAGGACGGCTCAGCCATGGCAGAGCGACTCTTCCGAGCATGACATGAGCAAGCCCTCTGCAATAGTTCTCTGGCGGGTTTCAAGCTTTTTTCCGATCCTCCAACCCCTGCCTGGGCTCGAGCAGCTCGTGACCGTAGTAAGCTTCGAGCGCTGGCTCGGCAATTTGCCCGTGGAGCCTGATGCTCCGGCCTTATCGGAGGGACTCGCGGAGGCAAGAGTCGTGTCTTCGACAACCGGAAGTTTCCAAGGCAGATGGGACATGCAATGGTGTGGTCCTCGACCAGGCCAACCTCACCCGCCTTCTCGAGTGCTTCTCCCGGGTGGCTTTCAGCAGCTGTGTGCCTGTGCGAGGAAGTGCCCTGCCAAATGTGACAGGCGCGGTAGGCCAGAGCACCAGCGTGGCAAATCTAAGGGCTAGGGATCAGAGGTGTTGATCCCTGGAGCTCCCCCAATCGAGGTCTGGGTCTCCCAAGACGGACAGTGCTCGCCAGCAGCCCAGCATGTGCCTGGCTGAGAGAACAGACCCTAGCGCCTGGTCCCTGTAGGTAACCTTGGTACTGAATCTGCGCGATCTGCCGCTTTATCGAAGCTGGAGATGCCATGTCAGGTGCGGCGCTTAAGGCTTGGAGCTTTGTCATGCGTCCTGTGAGACTCCTCGCGCATGTCAGGCGCCTGGGTGCAGCTCATGTGGCCGTCAGCCGGAGCCTTGGTCCTCCAGCCTCCAAAATCTCCAAAGCTTCGACGTCTGCCGCAGAGGCGGGCATCGTGCAGCCTTCGCAGACCTTTGCAAGGCCCGGAAAGAACTGAGCTTGAGGGCTCAGCCCGACGATCTGGAAGGATCAGAAGCCCGGCGAGCTGGCCGGCTTGGCCGCCTCTGCAGGCTAAACGCGTCTCTTCAGTCCAGGGACACCTCCACATCCAACAGCCGCACTCAGGCGAGAGCGGCTCAAAGACTCGTTCTTGGCTGCTGCTGCGGCTTCTCAAGGCCGTTTTCGAGAGTCCAAGGGCAAGCGATCCTCCATCGTTTGCTCATTCCAGGCCTTGCCAAGCTGGAGATTTTTCTATCTGGCTTTGGACACCGTGCTGCTACAACCGCTACAGGGGCGCAGGAGCCTCAACAGAGCCCGCATCAGCGGATTCAACAAGACGCCGCAGCGCTTGGGGGTCTTGCAGACTGGAGGGGTCCACTGTTCGTGTCACGTGGTTCGACGTGTATTTTACGAGAAGCTCATAGTTTCGTCCATTACACCTTGACGCTTAAATCTCTTGCGTTCCGGGGCTGACATCGTTGGTCCATTCGAGAGACATCACTATCTCCGTGCCATCTTGTGTGACTGAGGCTGGCGCATGGGCTCAGACGTCGTGGTCGTTGGAAGTCGGCAAGAATGGGACAAGTGGGGCAATGTCTTCGGTTGGCCCGCGCCAAGCAAGATGCTGGCGGCGGTGTGGCTGCTCGGTCCTTAGCGCGTGGAAGCGAAATAGGCGCTCTCTGTACAGCTGCCCCCGATTTGCAGGCGGCCCGTGCCAAGCCTACTAGCACTCCTGGAGGAGGCTAGTCGTAGTGACTTCGTGGGATCGTTACTTCTGAAGTTCCAATCTTAAGAGGTCGTCGACTGCATGGTGAAGTCCTCTCTTCTGGGTCTGGGTAGTTTGGCGGAGGCAGGCAGCGGGAGTTTGCCCAGTAGGCCGTTGTCCTTCCGTCAGTAGGAATCCGTGACTTTCCATATGGTATTGAAGCGGGGCGCCAATGCTGGCGACGGCGACTCAGGGGTGAGGGAGATTTCCCCGACTTTGCATATCAACGCATCGGATCTGAGGTAAACGTCTCCTTCCACGCAGGTACTGTGGCCAGCTACGAGCAGTTTACAGGATCGTCACAGGCCCAACAACTCTTTGAGCTTCAACTTGACCTCGGTTCATGGGAAGGTCAGGGCTATGCGGGCAGCGGGCCACTGGCACTGTGCGCATGCAGAGTTTGCAGATGTTGCGGGGACATGGGACCGCGTTGACTGCTTTGATCACTGCGCTCTTTGACCGCTGTGCTCGCCCGACGCTGTCCGCCCGAAGTGGCCAGGACATCTTCTATCACAATGGCTTTCGAACCAGCTACGAAGTTTCAGAGAAGGGAGAGGCGGCTGGCGGAGTAGTGCAAGCATATGCAAGCACGCAGCCTGAAGCGGAAAGCTTGGCTGAGGTGCGAGCAACACGCGCTGATGGCCCTGGCATCAGCGTCCTCCAGGCCGGGCCGCCGGCACAAGTGATGCGAAGAGCGAAGCTGACAGCCGAGATCTTAGGCTGTCGAAGCTGGAAGGTTCAGTTTCCCGGCTGAGCTTGGATGCTTTCTCCTCGAAGTAACATCACTGGATTCAATACGTAATGTCACCGATTCCTCCTTTGGTCTTCTCGCCACGGCTCCTCAGGCATGCTGAGGACAATCTTCTGCTTTGTACCGGCAGTTGAGGTCACAAGCTGCTTGGCATCCACCGCCCCGGAACATGGGAGCGCTTTCGCCTCGACGGCGTCGGCCTCGTCTCACATTGCTGCCGTGCCCTTGCCTTTTGCCGTCAGTTCCGTGAGGCCCCGGCAGATTGCATTTGGAACACTGGCAGCAGGCCCGGCACGAGCAGCAAAGCGTCAGCGCCTGGGCCGTGGCCGCATGCCGTGGCCAGGAGACTCTCTTGTCCATCGCGAAGGGCTTCCGGAAAGAGCAGCCACCCTTGCCAGGCAGGACGGAAGCCACTGCGACCTGGAGTACCGTTTCAGCGAGAGGTTGTGGATGCCCGGAAGATGAAGACTGGTGTGCCTTCTGCTCAGCTGATTGAAGGCTGCCCTTGTCACAGATGGCGATCCGTGCTGTATCTGTGCCCGAAGGACGAAACATTGTCCTGCAAATCTCCGAGCGCCTGCCGTGCCGATGGCGCAGAGGTCAAAACCCTCGGGATTCTTCAGGCATGGTGTGGATCCGAGACTTGGGAGGCCAGCAGTACGGCTTCGGCCCAAAAAAGCTTGGCCTCAAATCTGAAAGATGCACGCATCCGGCCATGCACTCGGTGCGGGATCTGTGCGAACAACTTCTGCCATCCCCAGCATGATGTGTGGATTTCCTGCCTTGCAGGCATCTCTTGAGAACCTCGCCAAGATCTCCGTGGCAGGTTCCGCAACGGTGGGTGAGAGGATCTTGGAAATCGAAGTACGCCCCAAAGGTACGCAAGGTTTCAATCGGCATTGGAGGTGGCTTCGGCTCCAAACTGCAGATGGCCGTGGCAAGCGCCGCCGCTTCGCATGCAGTGTGAAGGCAACTGCAGGCGTATGTCGCGGAACAGGAAGCCTTCCGATACCAGCTGCTGAGGTCAAGGCGATGCACTTTGGCAAACGTTCAGAATTTTTCGAGCATATGGGAAGATACACCAACAACTCGAAATGCTCCGGCCTTGAAAAGAGTCTTGACGAGTTTGAGCGGTTTCATGTGAGATCTTGCAATCCCAAGGCCTTGCATTTCTTGGTGAGGCCTCCTTGGTGCTTCGCATATAACAAATCCGAGTGGGCTCTGCGCTACCGTCCCAAGCATGACCGACCTAGCCATGTTGCAGCCGTGTCCAGGTGCAGTTTCGTCAGGGTGGATGGGCGTGCTTGTTCAAGGTCCGGTCACGGAGTCACATGAGGCAACACGTGGTCGAGGTTCCATCTCTGTGGCTCGCCATGGCTCGCCATGTGCGCAGGAGATGCCGCGAAGCTCTCGGAGGCTATCAAGGACAGCTGCGCGGCAATCCAGAATCAGGATGCTGTCTGCAGGCTCAGTGCAGGTGGGAGTGCGACGGTGCGAACGTGTCTCTGTGTAGCCTGTATAACAGATGCAATGACCCTTTGGAAGGCGGCACTCTGGCAGCCCAGCAGCTTGATTTTGGAATTCTTCGAGCGCTTTCAGCGGGGCCCGCAGAACGTGAATGTATGCCTTGCTCCCGTTTTGGTCCCAGTATGTCCCAGTATGTCCCAGTGATGTCCCAGTGATGTCCCAGTGATGTCCCAGAGAGGATGCAATTGCAGCAAGGGCCAGGGCCAGGCGCAGTTTCGAATTGCGATTTCGGGGCTAGGCCCGGCTGCTACCGGTCGGCAGGTGCTCCATCGTCCTTGCTCGCCCTGCATGTTCGCCGCGGAGACAAAGCCAGGTGCCTGGCTCGCGTTCGCGTGTTTTGCGGCATTCTGCGGCCCTCTTTGCAATCTTAGGTGACGAACCCTTTCAACAGATATCATGCGGTTGAGGACTATGTCTACGAGGCGTCTCGTAGAGACTTTTTGTTGGGGGCTGCTTGTCGCCGACCCTTGCAGGTCCTGCGTGCAGCAGAAGAGCTGCAGCTCTGCAGGGCAGAATTGTGCCAGACCGGGTCTCATGCACCATGTGCTTGTGTCATTAGTGGCATGACGGGAGATGCCTCGCAAAGGCTTTTTGTGGCATCAGACTCTGCAGACATCGTGGACGAGGCGCAGTTCCCGACGTGAGTGAGTTAATCTTCTGGTGCAACATGGTGCAACCATGTGCAGCTGGAGGTCATTAGCGCGATGCAAGCGAAGCAGGGCGTCATGCAGGTGCATCGGCTGATTTTTTCGCGGAGATTGAAGGGTGAACCAGCTTCGTCGACTTTGGCAGACGGGCTGACTAGGTCATTGGGCTTCGCCACTCTGAGACCCACCGTCGAAGTGCTGTCGGCGTCGAGGCCGCAATGAGCTACATGGTCAATCCTGCCTGTGTCGAGGAAGGCATTGGCATCGACGTAGTATCACAGGTTGCTAGACGCGCTTGCGCTGAGGGCTCCGAGTGAAAGAGTGACATCGCCAGATGTTTTCGTCAGGGACACTTCCGAGACATTTTGCATGTGGAAGCTCTGTCATATCGCTAGCAAGCCTCAAATCCACTGCAGCGGCGACGCAGCGGCACCCGAACACGCAGATATGCTTTATATCGGGAGGGTGTCAGCACAGGCAAGCTTCGACGAGGTCTGCAAAGCGGAGTGCTGCATAGCCTGTCAGTCTCCGACTAACCAGGCATGGAGGACCCTTATCAACACGAATCCGGGCTGTGCTTCCCTCGCTCGACATGGCTGGATGAGGGCGAGGATCCCATACCGCACACGGACGGTTGATTGCGCAACCGGCTCCGCTCGTGCTGCATGCTACGATGCATGCATACAGAAACTGCGTAGACAAGTCGTGGGAATAGTTGCCCTTGTCCACCAGCATCCCTATAAACCGTCATATCGGCGGCAACTCTAAGCCCCAACCCAGCAGGTAGCCAGATTTCTGCCCGGCGATGCCACGGCGCTGCAAATGGCCGCCGAGGAAGCCGCAACTGCTCTGCCTGCCTGCCTTACGACGGGGCCAATTCAAAGGTGATGTTCGACATGGACATGCTCAGCCGCGCGCAAGTGGTGGTACGCTCCCCAGCAGATCTACTATTGTTGGCAAGTATGTCAAAGTATTCTTCGAAGCGACGCCAGTCATTGTCAATCACGGTCGCGCCCAGTCAAGCCGCGATGCATCTCCCCAGCAGCCATTTCATTGCTGGCGAAGCACACGAAACTGACCGATTATGTTGATCTGCTTCGCCAATACTGCGGTAGGACGAAAGTTTG